AAAAAAAAAAAAAAAAAAAAAAAAAAAAAAAAATCACGCAGGTCTAGGGTTTAGGGTTTAGGGTTTAGGGTTTGAGGCTTCTTGCGCTTCATGCTGTCTCCTTTTTGTTTTTTTTTGTCTCCTTTCTGTCTCCTTTTTTTTTGTCTCTTTTTATTTCTTTTCTGTCTCCTTTTTGTTTTTTTTTTTCTTTTTCTTTTCTGTCTCCTTTTTGTTTTTTTTTTCTTTTTCTTTTTCTGTCTCCTTTTTGTTTTTTTTTTGTCTCCTTTCTGTCTCCTCTTGCTGCGGGGGGAGTTAGTAGGGACGGCGCTGCAGCAGCAGCTGTTTCTATACAGACTCTGTCTCTATGCTGCTGCTGCTGCTGCTGCTGCTACTGCTACTGCTGCTGCTGCTGCTGCTGCAGTGTCTATCTGTCTCTCTCTCTGTCTATCTCCTTTTCTCTTATTTTTGTTGCATTTGTTCTTCTTGTTTTATTGATATTATTATTTAGTTTTTGTTGTTTTGTTTGTTTTCTCTGTTTATTTATATATTTATATAAACAACACACAAAACAGAAAAAAAACAATATACATACTAATATAACAATACACCGCAACAAACAAAAACTGAGACAAACAAAGATACGCATGCATGCATGCATGCATGCATGCATGCAAGCGCTCTTCTTTGTTAAGGACTTGGAAGACAGCAGCAGCAGCAGCAGCAGCAGCAGCAGCAGCAGCAGCAGCACGAGCAGCAGCAAGCCGCCCCCCTGTGTTCATATGGTGATCTTCTTCTCTCAAGTTTACAGCTGGGGTTTAGAGAAAATAATTTAAAATGCTAGCAGAAATATATATCATCTGCTGCTGCTGCTGTTGCTGCTGCTGCTGCTGCTGCTGCTGCTGCTCTTGTGGTGTACAGGCAGCTCAGGAGAATGTATAACTAAATTTATAATTAAATTAAAATAAAAAACAACAAAAAAAAACAAAAAAAAATAATTATTAACCTACTTTTACTGCTATACTGTTAATACTGCTGCTGATCTGCTGCTGCTGCTGCTGCTGCTGCTGCTGCTGCTCTGCTGCTGCTGCTGCTGCTGCGGGGGGGTCACCTCACCATAATTTTTATTTTTTTTTTTGTGGTTTATGTAGAAATATAATTTATAATATGTTTTTATTTTGTTCATATTTATTTATTTTTATATTTATTTATTTTTTTATAGATTTATTTCTATATTTCTCTGCTTTTTCTCTCTTTTGTATCAACCCGTCCCGCGGTGCTCGATCGAGCTGCCTATACACCTGAATCCTTATAAAATTTTTTTGTTTTTTTTTTATTTTTTTATTATTTTTTTATTTTTTTTTTATTTTATTATTTTTATATTTTTGTAGAGTATATTAATAATATTAATAATACAAAATAAATAAATATAGATGCTGTAGCCTACCTTTATATTGTGGTGTCCTTTATCGTTAGTATTATTCTTATAAATATAATTTTGTTTTTTTATTTTTTATTTTTTTATTTAATTGTTTTATAATAAATTATATTTGTTGCTGTCTCTGTCTTTGTCTTGCATATATT